TGTCAACATATGAAATGTGCATACCCTTTGATCCGAGGTATCAGTTTACAGAAATGGTTGCAGGGATGGACTAAGTTTGGATCATGACGAGAGGCACTGCATTGCTGTTTCTAATTTGTGTTTCCCTGGTTCAGCAGGGGTAAGCGGTGGGTACAGAGAGGGACGTGGAAGATTTACTATAGAATGTTGTTACGTTGTTTGGTGTGGGTCTTAAAAGAAAGACCATCTGCATGCTCCAATTAGGAATTATTTTCCAACCGTGTTCTGGCCAAGCTAGGTAGGTTGGCTTTGGGGCTTTGTGGGACCAATAAACCTGTAATGGTGGGAGAGGCCAGACTGGGAAGGGGGTCATGTGTCCCACTAAGGAGTTTAGATGTATGGCTTCCAAATACATCTGTATGCTATTACGATGGCTACCTTACTAGATGTCCAATAATGAATAAGATGGCCTCTCCTGGGTGGAAACCTACACTCCAGGGCAGGTGACAGATTGTAAGCTGACTTGCACTGTGGTAACGTTACTGTCATGACTGAGAGGTGCCAAGAGAGCCTGCAGAAGGAACAAAGACAGGTTAGTTAAGCGGAGGCTCAAGGAAAGGTGTTTGGGACAGAGGAAACAGCTTGAGCAAAGGCCTATGTGTCTTCCCATCTGCCTGAGGGTGCTGAAGGAAGACCAAGACATTCCATCCTGCTGGGGACTGGAGGGCAACTCCAGCACGAGAAAATCAGAGAGAACTGTATTTTAGTGGATTCCAGTGGAAACCAGCCTCAGGTCTGCAGCTGAACTACACTGATTACATTGTGGATTTTGCTACCTGCTGGCAGGAAAATGTGTAAGTGGCATCCGGGCTAGGGGAGGAGGCGATGTTCAATGGGGATGAGCCCGAGCTTGCCTCTGTCTGGTGGTGCTAAGCCAAAGAAGTCAGATCTGGTGATGGGCTCAGCCCTAATTTTTTTTAAAGCACACAGTGAGATGGCATTCCACGTGGCTTGCTTGGACTGGAGAGGAGGGCCTAGGCAATGGGGTCATATTCAGGCTAAGGCTCCAGTGTAAAGAGAAACAGCGTAGTCAACTTCCACTGATCTTTGACTTTCAGTTTAGTAAATTTAAAAAAGTGGCGTTTGTTAGCACCTGCTGTCTGCCAGCCATGTGTGACAGTAGAACAAAAGCATGATGACCTGGAAAGCAGTCAGCTGGACAGTCACGTGGACAAGGCCTGTTGGTAGATAAGGTCAAGGATCGTGTACAGCAGCTAGGAGAAAGCGCAATGTTGACCAATTCCATATCTGTCTTGGGTTTAAATAGCTAGCCCTGATTAAAGCTTCTCAGTGTCTTAGTTTGGATTGTCCTTAGACCAGAGCCTGAGACAAAGACCTGGGTGCAGGTAGTGTATTTGGGAGGTGATCCTGGAAGCTAGAGTGAGGGAGTAGAGCAGGAAGAGGAAGACAGGGAAAGTGAGAAATCCAAGAAAGGGTGCCTTATTGAAGGTGGGCAACTGGGGCTCCATCCCTTTGGGAACTCTCTGAAGAATCCTGTTAGGTGCACCTTACAGTTGTCTCTCCAAAGGCTGAGATTCCTGGGAGCTTATCCAGTGACTGGTATTTCCCACTGGGTGAAGGTTGTCCCTGTTGGGGGAGGAAGAGTTGTTAATTCAAACTCCCCTCTGGTGAGAGTTCTTTGGCTTTGGAAAAAACCCTCCGGCAGGAAAGCAAAGAGGTAAACAGGAGGCTTTTGAAGTGGGGATCATCACAGTGCAATGGTTTACACAGATTGTAGCGGTGGTTGAAATTGGAGATGGGCTCAGGGCATAAAATGTGGGGAGCGAAAAGCTTTTGCTATGCTCAATTTCTTTCTTAAGCAGTTTATTCATTCAACCAAACATTTATTAGAACCATGGTCAATGCTGGGCTCTATGGTCAGCAAAACAGATCTAGCCTCTGCCTTAAGAGCTGATAGTCTTTGGGGATTTTGAGCATGCAAGATGGTGTTATGAACATCTAAGTCCAAAATAGAGCAGTGCTAAAAAAAAATAAAATTAGAGAAAACTAATTGAGGGCTAACTTCTAAGTCAGTTTGACACTTAAGGAGACCACAGCTCCAAGACCCTTCCCACTGCCTAGAAACAAGCTAGTAAGCCAGCAAACAAACTTATAACACAATGGCTGGGTATTGTGATAAAGTGTTGTCCGACTGCTTGCAATTCCACTAAAAGCGATTCCTTCCTTTTGTCCCTCCCTCACCCATGAGTTTCATATTTGAAAAAAACTCAAACATGACTGCAAAGGCCAAGGGCCATTGCATTCAAACTTCAGTATGAATGATCAGATTGCTTTCTTCCTGGTGCTCAGATGAGCTCAAGATGTGGTGAAGAATGGATATTTGAGTAGGAGGTGGGAATGTTGGTGATTTGGAGGCTAGTGCAGAGCACCCTGGGGGGTGTCACCATACAGTCCCTGTTTACTTGGTGTGCGTCGCTCTGGCAAAAGCCATTTACTCTGAAATTTGTTGTAAGGTGGGATTTTTGTTTTAAAAAGGAGAAGGGTTCGCCCTTCCCTGATTTCTCTCTTATATAGTAAATAGGACTCAGGCCAAAGGTTAGCAAAGAGGAGAATCTATAGAGAGGAGGTCACAAACCAGTTAATTTTGAGATGAAGGCAGCCCAAATATGTACTTAAAAAAATGTTTATTTTATTTTAAGAGAGGGAGAGAGAGAGAGGCAGGGAGAAAAGGAGAGAGAATCCCAAGCAAGCTCTGTGATGTCTGCACAGAGGCTGATGTAGGGCTCCACCTCCTGAACTAGTGAGATCATAACCTGAGTGGAAATCAAGAGTCTAATGCCTAAATGACTGAGCTACCCAGGAGCCCTAAGACATACTTTTCTCTTTTTTCTGCACGATTTTTTTGGTTGAAACATTTAAAAATAGGATTCCCAATTTCTCTTTAAGAAATTAGATGATCTGAGCCCTCATTTTCACATGGGAACAACTGGATGGGGTTGAGAGTGGCAGCCACCCCCCTTAGAAAGATGTTGACTTGTAGTTGGTCAGTCCCCACCATTCCTTATATTCTCCCCAACACTGAGAGCCAAGTCATTTGAAGTATTAATTGTCAATATGATGACTGAAACACCAAGATTCTTTGATATAACCCATCTTGGTCCCTGTGATTGTATGTGGGTCTGTGACCTTTCGTTTACAGGTCAAGCCTAGAGGCTTTGAAACAAATTTGGGTTTGAAATGGATACATCGTACCAACCTCAAAGGCATTGAATTGAAAATTAAAGGAAATATTGCATGCTTAGCACAATGCTTGAAACATAGCAGCTATTATCAGCAACCGCGAGTAGAAAGTGCAAGAGGGCAGGCAGAAACTGTGTTAATGTCATACTTTGTCATATTCCCAGCGCCTACAGTGCCTGGCGTCTGTTGAATGAATGAATGAAGGTAGAGCTCAGCGGGGTTTTAAAGGCAGGTCTGCAAAGGAAGGTAATTCTGAGTATACAGTTTCACTGCGACCACAACGTGCCACCTGGAAGACAAGCCTATTGGGGCGTGCCAGACTCGGTGATGGCGTTCGGGTAGGCGCGCAGGCGGTCCGGGTCCCTCGGGAGCCGGGCAGGACTGGCTTGCTCAGAACTGTTCAGGGCCACATCCGTCACGTCTTCCACGGTCTGGTAAGGGGCGGCAACCTGATCTCCGCACTTTCTCAAGGCCTCCGCCATCAGATCAGAAGACCGAGACCCACCCCTGGGGTCCATCCCCGGGCACGAGCCCAGCGCTGTCCACCTTGCTGGGACCGTGCCCACATTAGACATGGCCTCTCTTGGACTTCACAAAGCGGGACCGCCCCGGAGCCGAGAGTCATCTCGTCTGGCTGGAGGGGCATATCCATTCCCACAATAAACATGGCAGCCACAACGGCTTCAGCGCCGGGCGGGCGGCGCCGGGAGGCGGGTCACGTGAGAGGCCCAGCTGGGCGGATCGCGCGCGCGC